TGCGTGTCTCCTTTCTTTGCCAGCGTTGCGCGCACCTTCGGTTGTCAGTACGGGTGTTTGTGATGTTCTGACTTGCTTGTTGTATCCAAGTTCGAAGCCCCCGTCTTTTAGAACTGATGCTCATATGCACTTCTAGTTAGGTCTCATATATTTAGGAAGTACCTGCACAGCACCGGTCGAGGATAGCTTGTGGGCTTCTTCACTGACCTGACGTTTGAATGTTCACACTCATTCTGATGCTGTATACAATGACTGTTGTGTAATCCCACAGCGCTCGCTAATTCCGCGAGTACTATACTATATTCGCTTCAGCAGACAGTGTGACCAGCCCAGCTATAAATTTATGTTTGCACAGACAAACTTAACCTAAAAGAAGGTGTGTTATATCTAGCTGAACGTTAGTGGATGCATTAAGGTATACTTAACCAAGGAAAAAAAACAATGTATTTAGTGCACAGCGAGTACTATGATCCGACGCGTATCAGTTATGTGCGTCTTTGCGACATCTCCGCCTTCGAGTATAGATGCATCCATGTCGTGAAATGCACATGTTTGTGGGGAGGAAGCATTTGTGGCGAGTTTCGTGTCTTATGCAAAACATTGGAAGATATTTTTGCATTCACCACTTAGCAATAATACCATCAACAGTCGAAGCATTCCAGCCATAGTATTCTCCCCCATATAGCAATTGTGTCGCTAACAAGAACTTCCAATTCTCGGGTGTGGAAGACTTAGGAGAAAATATCGGCAAACAACGGACGAACTTTTTTTTCCTCGGCAACTCGCGGTCTCTCTCTTTCTTTTCGACCCGCCATGATGGTGTAGTGGCTAAGGCGCCCAGCTGCCGACCCGCAGGTCACGGGATCAAATCCCGGCCGCGGCGACCGCATTTTCGATGAATGCGTAAATGCGTGAGATCCATCTGCTCAGATTTATGTTCACGTTAAAGAACCCCAGAAGGTCTAAATTTCCGGAGCTATCCACTACGGCTTCTCGCATATTCTCTGTCATCAGCAGCATCAAGATGCACAACGCTACGACACCCGACACAATTTTGTTAGCTACTCACCAGGCGACAAAGTGTGGGTCTGGATTCCGATACGTCGACGTGGACTGTCTGAGAAACTGCTAAGACAGTACTTTGGTCCATACAGCGTCACGCGACGCTTGAACGACGTGAACTACGAAGTCGTTCCCGACACTAATTGTAGTTCTAAGCGCCAAAAGCGTTTGCCCGAAGTCGTGCACGTCATGCGTATGAAACCGTATTTATCGAGTTAATTAGCTCCCGATTACCGTTTTCGTACGACCACTTCATACGCCTGGTAGAGCACCTAAGTTGCGCATCGGGACGATGCTTCTTTCGGAGGGAGGCAAATGTCACGTGCTTTCTCAAGAAAGACGATGAATGTTGTGCATGTGCCACGAAGGACTACGAAATGGACGAAGAAGAAGAGCTCGCTTGCGCCTTCTAATTAAAAAGATCGACCTGCTTCTGGTGTCTCAGTCTCTACGGCAAGACCTCTGTTTTGGCGTCATGACAATATCGTGAATATGGGACGTTGCAACACTACAAATATTATGTTATTATTATATAATCTCTCCCTCTCTATCTCTCTCTTGTTCTGCTAAATGGTTAACGGGACAAGCAGCCTTGACAGAAACGTAGCAATGCGCGCATCTATTGGCTGTTTGACTGTAGCGATTTGGTACAGTCACCTAAATTATTGATGACCTAATTCGGACGAATAACAATTGCGATATCATTCAAGGCTTCCTATCAGAGAGCAAGCGAGCGACATCATTGCGACTCACAAAGTTGGTCACTGTATCGTTGCTACATGCGGCTACGTTCATGGTCGCCGTGGCACGGAGCCAAATAACGAGCATTCCGTGTCGGAAGCACCCCGGACACCTTCGTTCGTGATTGCGATTCCGTCCACGCAGCAGTTGATCTGGGTGCTTAAGGTTTCCTTAGAACCGTTATCATGGTGACGTGAATTAACTGTACTTGTTGTACGCATGCCGCGTACCATACGCAAGCATTAAGGGCTGTCTCGGATGAGCAGACTCAATGCAATCGCGACGCTGCCGTTTCGCGCACAAAGAACGTCGACGTACCGACGTGAGACGCATAGAAATTGAGCCAGACGAGATTTCTCACGGCGATCGCTTTACTTCCTGCATTCAGCACAACGGCGGCGGCCAAATGGTGTAGCCGTAACACTCGTCTCTATCAAATACCAATTTGCTTACACTCCGAACAAACACTACTAGGCTAACCTATGGAGCATTAGTTCCAAGAAAATTGGAGAGTTAATGGGGTCCAAATTGAACACTACTCTATTTTCGAGAGTACATTGTGGTAACCGCTAATGTAGAACGTATATACTTCTATAGCAAGCGATCTCGCCCATGAATTCACTCCAGCTTGTATTCGTTGCACTGCATTGTAGTAATTAACCTTTTTTTCCTTTCTTTTGCTTGTCAGTAATGCTGCATGGAATATTCTACGAATAAAATCAGCTGATTTAAATAAGCATAAGCAGGTGACCGAATCGATTAAAACGAGTTTGAGGACTGACAGGCTTTCACATTTATCTGCTCAATCTTTGTTTAAAGGAACATGTATTTTTAAAACCGAGATCAGAGAATTCGAGGAATTTTCAAAGCGATCTGTACAGTTATAGCGGGTGTTTCGAGCATAGGCTGTCCTTCGGTAGCCCTATACAGCCTCGATGTAGAATACCTGGATGTAACTTAATTCGGTGGCCAAAATGTGCTCGGCGTTTTTTATGTGCGCAGTCATTCTGCGGTCGCCTAATTCCTGATCTTGTTTTTTTTTTGTAATGTGCCTGGTGTCTACTTACTAACAGGTGAGAGGCCATCTAATGACGATTTAGAACTTGTAACGAGCCGAAATTCAAGGAGACGTGGGCCACTTTTGACATTAGGTAACACCTTTTGTGCCAAAACCACTGCAATGTCACAGATTCATGAAACTGGATCTCATAAGAACCGTATGCGAGACTTTGTTCTCGTTGCGCTGAAGCCCACTGCGCCAATTTTATAGCCAATGTCCACAAATGTTCCAATTGTAATGGGCACCATGAAGCCTCCTCAAAAAAGCGCCCAAAAATGAAAAGGGAAATTACTGCATTGAAACAAATGGCAAGGGCCCATTTATCACATCACGGGGCTGCCGCAACTATCAGAAAGCGGCGAGATCGGCGACAGAATTCATGCGAGAAAAGCAATGCCCTGCATCTACAGCGCCTCTTGAACGCCCTGCTTCGCCGACTCCCTTGTCAACGGGACCCTTCACGGCCGGTTCAAATCGTAATGGGCCTACACTGCCGAAGCCAAAGTCCCGTACATGGGTGACAGCCGCCATAAACGACAAGACCAAGAAAGGCATGGATACATCTGAGCCAGCTTGGCCTTCTCTGCCGAAGTCGCAGCGACGTGCTGAGTCATAGTGCACACCGACAATTGAGAACAATGAAACAATCGTCATATTTCTTCAGTGACTCCTAAACACACTTCGCATGTTTGTCAGCAAGCTCAAATCACCGTCTCAGCCCGTGCAAGAGGTGCTGGATGCTCTGAGTCTAGTACTTGAAAGTTTTCGTAGGCACAATTACTCGACTATCTACAGTGCAGACGTGACATGGCCGAGATCCTGTGTTTAGTACTGTGGAACGCAGCAGTATTTTTTATATGCTTCCTTCTTTCTCTCGGCCTATCTTTTTAGCCCAATTATCCTTCCCCCAATGTAGGATAGCAAACCAGACGCGCGTCTAGTTGGCCTTCCTGCCTTTCCTTCCTCTCTTCCTTCCTTCCGTGATTAAAATTTCAATTGCTAGTAGCGCGTCGTCCTGTATCCCCCGTGCCTTTGTTTTCGTGGTTTCTTCGCACTTTTTCAAACAGCTTATGAAAATAAATCAACATTTCTCTCTCTCTCTCTCTCTCTGTGTGTGTGTGTGTGTGTGTGTGTGCATGCGTGCGTGCGTGCGTGCGTGCATGTGCGTGTGTGTGTGTGTGTGTGTGTGTGTGTGTGTGTGTGTGTGTGTGCAGCGCAGCACACGATGATGGGAAAGAAAATAACAAAATATGAATGTCCAACAGAGATAGTGAAATGTATATACGAAGCCAAGGTTTAGTGACGTGCTTGATTGAATCAATGTGAAGCGTACAATTGTGCTTATTTTCACCATATACATAACGCGTGACCACATGGAATCCTTATGTGTGCTCCCAGCGCCAATGGCAAGTTTGTCATAATTCACGGTCGATCATACCTACTTATATACTCCATTCGCAAAACCAAGCGGACGCACACTCATCCGTGCTGAGATATCAAGAAAGTTAGTAAGATGCTTGTCGAGCCAAGCCAAGAGAGGGGAGGAGAACGAAGCACTACACACAAACTCACACGTACATACATACATACATACATACATACATACAATACATACATACATACATACATACATACATACATACATACATACATACATACATACATACATACATACATACATACATACATACATACATACATACATACATACATACATACATACATACATACATACATACATACATACATACATACTACATACATACACATTTTATCAATTAGTTGGAATCATTTGATGCTGTCAGCAAATAAGAACACCCCCAAGTGAAAAAGCTTATTCTTTTCAGTAAATATACTAACCGAATAGTGTGATGGATAGATGTATGGACGGATAATGAAAAAAATTATTATGCACCTTTAGGGTCATACCTCGCAATATTAATGCTAGCCTCTGCGTATAACCACAATTGAGAATGTGAAGTCACAGACGAATCCACATTCAAATAAAAAGGTAATGTTAACGCGGTTTAACGAAAATCAATCGCAAGCTATTCGTAGAACTGCTTGATAGCTCAATGGTTCAAACCTACTTGAAGCTGCAACAGTACTTCCTAAATATGACTTTTCTTTCTTGCAGTTCTTGAAGCAATACAAAGACGACGAACGTAAGTGATACGTTACTCGGCATTCTTTTACATCGCGTAAACATTACAGAAGCTTGCAAGTATTTGTTTGTAAGCAGTTGCCGTTGTTGTTAAGGATATTCTTTTTGAAATCGGCGGGGACACCTGGCGACACCACGAGAACTTTTTAAAACAAGTTCTTTTCAACCAACTTCTCACTCTTGCTTTAGGAACACTATATAACTGATGTAAATTACAATAATGGACGTCCGGAAGTTTATTTGAGTGTAGATTGTAGGAAACGAATGTAGGAAACGCAGAAGAAGAAAAAGGATAGTGGAGTCGGTGCTTGGACCAGGGCTTCCAATCCGTGAATACAAAGTTTCACTCTGATAGCTGAAATTTCATTATTTCTCTTAATTAAATAAAATAATAAATTCTTCGCAATTTATTACAGAACCGGCTAATATTTTGAAGCTATAATTATAAAATGCCATTTGTTTCATATTATTTAACACAGTAATATTCGAACAACAGCGAAGTAATGATTAATAAAAACCAGTACTAATTCACTCTTCATGTTGGTTGCCAGCGTGGGCCACCTTGCTCGGCAGAAATTTCGACACTCTCACCTGGACTCACAGGCTCCCCATGTTTGGTATCATAGAGTTTGCACCGAGGAAAAAAATACACAATCAAATCGCCAACCAAGGATAATAATGAGTCATATATCCCTTGCTAACTGATGTAATCTAACTCGGCGCTGGTCTTAATTGTCTGGTGGCTTATCAGAGAGTCGCTAATGAAAGCGGTTGTCACGCTTTTCGCTGGTACTGACGGTATTACACTATATTTCGTGCGTTAAATAAGCAGTGCTAGCTAAAGCATCGAATATGAAGACCAAGTACGCGTTAATCGCAAGTGTTTTACGGTAATTGTGTGCATTTCACAGCTCGATAGAACAAACCACAACCACCTGAACACATAGTGGGATCACGGGAGTGTCTATAAATATTCACAAAACCAACAATTGCGATCGATCTATGACAGTATGAGAAGATCGTCAAAAAATGGTATCAAACCCACCGCAGTTGTCTAGTGACTAAGGTACTCGACTGCCGAACCACTGGTCGCGAAATTGAATCCCGGCCGCGGCGGCCTCATTTTCCACGCAAGCGGAAATGCTGTAGGCCCGTGTGCTCAGATTTGGGTGCACGTTAAAGAACCCCAGCTGCTAGAAATTTCCGGAGCCCTCCACTAAGGCATCTCCCATAATCCACTAAGGCATCTAAGGCGTCTCTCATGGTTTTGGGACGTTAAAGACTGACAACTATTATTATTATTATTATTATATTATTATTATTATTATTATTATTATTATTATTATTATTATTATTGAAGCTAGTATCAATTTAAGCGCAGAAAGTTGCCATAAAAATGTCGTGATTTATTTTGAAAACAAAATGAGTAGAAACATGCTAAATAATCCTAGAAATCGCAACATTTTTTTTATTTTCTAGCAAAAACCTTAGATTACCTTAATCTGGATAATTCCTCTCAATTTCACATCCCTGGCTTGGACTGTGTGGTTGAGCGAAGTCGTACAATTTGAACTTCCCTTATTATTGATAGTGGGGCCAATCCACCTAGTGGGTATGAATCAATTTCTTCAAGGCAACAAAACAGAACTGGACTGGTCTTAACTCAAAATCGCACTGCCCCTGCTTTAATGTGGTTTCATTTGATCTGTACATTAACCCATTACTTCATAGCTACATATTGAAATGAAACAGTTGAGCCAACGCTTAACTGGGAGAAAACAAACCGAAGAAGAGGGTGCCCTGCCTTTGATATAGGGTGAAGTCCACATGGAGGTCTTTCTTGATTAAGGAACAAATAAAAGCCCTCGTCAAGGTTCAGGGCTGGCTGCTCAATCCGGAATGCCCAGATGTATTTAAAAATTGCTGCTATAGCATGATGCCATAAGCCATATGTGGCTCCGGTGACTTTAGATATCATTTGATATCGAACATGGTATTTGGACATATGGTCGAATTCCTTCAGTTTCCCGGAATACTATTACCGCTGGATCGCCAATTTATTTATTCATTTTTTATTTATTTATTTATCAAATACTACGAACAGGTAGTCCAAGCAGGGAGGGCAACAAAATAGTACAACAGTGAACATGTTGAAAACAAAATATATTCCTTGTGTACAAAAAGTTTTTATCGTTTCAAATGTGTTTTTTCCTTTTTTCTTACACATAAACGAGAGGAGGATCTCAATGCTCATTTATTCCCCCGGTGCTTTCCACGTCACCAAAAAAATAATAACTTCCGCTTGTGCAAATAATGTCATTTTTTTTTACCTCCGCAGACATCATACACCCCTACATGGACGATTGCAGGCTTGCCCATATGCGTTAGAGAACTGGCTCGATCATAATATTTTTTTGAAGTAAATGTGCACGCCATTTTCCTCTGATCGCAATACTAGGTGCACATCTGATTGTGTTGTCATCTCGAAGACAAAACGCATGTGGGATGGTCTTTGAAGTATTCGTATAACAGCGCGCAAAAGTAGAAAGGATGGCAGAGACACAGTTTAAGTGTTCTTTACGCTTTGCCTCTGTTGCCGGAAAGGCCCGCTGAGGTGGTCTAGTGGCTAAGGGTACTCGGCTGCTGACCCGCAGGTCGCGGGATCGAGTCCCGGCTGCAGCGGCTGCATTTTCGATGGAGGCGGAAATGCTGTAGGCCCGTGTGCTTAGGTTTAGATATATGATAAAGAACTCCAGGTAGTCGCAATTTCCATACGTATATAAGAGACGCCACTATGGCGTCTCTTATATACGTATGGTGGTTTTGGGATGTTACACCCCAAATTTTATTATTATCTGTTGTCGGCTTTTCTATTTTTATCGTCCTGTTAGATGAGTTCAGTAAACCAAATAGTCTATAGCAAGCAACCGTACTAGATAACTTACGGCAATTTGTGACACATGTAACATATGACAAGCACACATTATTTTCATAGCTGGAAAAGGTGCACGTGTCATTAGCATTTTGCCCTGGCTAGGCAGTCAGCGTATGTGAATACACATGTTTGAAGTTTGAAGTTAATTAAATACTGAGTACATATACAGATATAGTCATGTTGTTACAGAAAAAGTTCCTATTGTGTGAACACTGTCGGGGGACCTTATTATTACGTTAAAAAAACATTACTTAAATGCAAAAAATAAAAATATAAAAACAGCAAACTAATCAGAGTACAAAGTAAAAAAAATGACAGGCATGGGCTATTCAGATATTTAGGCAAAGCGTAATACATAATCAAGACATAAAATGATAAGAACTGTTGAATAATACATACACGCACTAATCAGAACAACAGAATTGAAGTTATGTTTGTTGAAACTTAAATAAATGGTGCTACTGGTTAAGCAAAATGAGTTCTGCATGAACCCGCAAGGTGGCGGAAGGGTTATGAAAGGGAAATAAAACAAGAACCCGTTTGCAGCCGGAAGCAACAAGAAAATTCGTACAGATTTCTCAGAAAGAAAATCTTCTTATTCGTCCTGGCCCATGGTTCGAACACAGTAAGCTGTCAATAGGCAGCGCAATTTCGCCCTCACACTGCCAATCGCTAGCTTCCTGGTTAGCTCAATTTGTAGAGCGACCACTCCGGAAAGGCATTGGTCCGACAAATTTTTCGGCAACAAAAAGGTTTTTCTTGCTGCGAAATTCGTATGGATTTTCTTGTGGCTTCGTGCTACAAACAGGTGGTTGTTTTCATTTGCTGTTGGTCAAGGATGAAATGGCGAATGAGATGTTTGAATGACAATACAGAAAAAGCACACTTAATGTTATATAGCAAAAGATAAAATGTGATTGAAAGAAAAGCTAGTCCTTGTGAACCTTAGTTAGTTCAGACTTTGGGAAGCAAAAAGTTGTTATTTGAGGAAACGCGGGTTATGTTCGAATTAGCAAGGTCTCGGATAAGAACAAATTTCAGAATGCCCTGGTCTTTATTGGCCCAATAAGCAAATGTTCACACATTAAATTGGTTTAGGTTCTCAATATTGATTATCTTTAGTTGACAGTATAAATCGGTGACATCAGTACGTCGGCTGCTCCAGGTAACAATCTGAATGGCTTGATTTTGAACACGTTAAAAAAAAAGATGGCAATTATTTGTTTGAACCCATGAAGCGATGCAATAGTCAAGATCACTGTGGATGAATGCAAAATATAAACAAATCAAAGTGGTAAAGTTAAAATAACATATAGCTTTCAGTATTATCCTAATACCATAAGATGTTTTTGTTGCAGTTGTTCAAAATGTAAGTCGAATTTCAACCAGGGTCAAGCTTGATTCTACAGAAAGAACAATGGTCTGACAGGGAAACGAGATGCGAGTTGATAAAGAGTGGTATAACTTGGGCACTATTTATTTTATTGGAATTAAAACTTAGGAACTTCGTTTTAGAGGGATTTATCAAAAGGTAGTTTTTAACACACCATGCATTAACGTTAACAAGTTCAGCTATAAGGGTTGTTACAAGGCTGGTTATTGAGTTACTCGGACATAAAAAAGTCGGTTCGTCCACATATAAACTGTTTTCAGTATAAGTGGTTACACTCAGCGGAAATTTGGTAATTTAGAGTAGAAATAAAAGTGGACTCAGGATTCAGCCTTGGGAAACACCAATGTCAGTAGAATAGATGCCGGAAATAGATATTAATTACTCTCGATCAGCTAAATAACTATAAAAAAGACTGAGACAGTTGTCATCAATGCAATAAGATAAAAGTTTAGAGAAGAGAATGTCATGATTAAGTGTATAAAATTATTTAGTAAATAAAAAAACAATGAGGTTACCTTTGTCAATTTCTTGTTTCCATTTTTCTATGAAGTAAATGAGGGCTGATTTAGAGTCAATTATCATTGTCTAAACCCGATATGTCTAGGATGAAATAAGTTAAACTTTGTAAGATAATTTGACACTCGGATATATATTAGCTACTCAATTACCTTGC